ATTGTTGTTATTATTATTACTATTATTATTATTGTTATTATTACTATTATTATTGTTATTGTTATTATTATTATTACTATTATTATTGTTATTATTACTATTATTATTGTTGTTATTATTATTATTATTATTACTATTATTATTATTATTACAATTATTATTATTATTACTATTATTATTGTTATTACTATTATTATTACTATTATTATTATTATTACTATTATTATAGTTATTACTATTACTATTATTATTACTATTATTATTATTATTACTATTATTATTTTTGTTATTATTATTGTTGTTATTATTATTATTGTTATTATTACTATTATTGTTGTTGTTGTTGATGTTGATGTTGTTGTTAGCTAACCTGGTAGCTAGCGTAGCTAACAGGTTAGCTTCCTTTAACAGTTTGTCTTGTAAGAGTGAATCCAGTAAAATGGATCTTTATTTAATGTTTAATTTAATTTAATATTTATTTAATCAGGATGAGGGAGCTCAGTGGTCAGTGCCACGGTCTTATGATCCTGAGGTTGCGAGTTCGAGCCCAGGTTTTGTTAAGAAGAGCATCTGGTGTAAAACAGCTGCCGACTCTTTCGTGCGAGTTTGTTCATCGTGTCGACTCCTGAAGAAGAAACTTTATTATTTTCTGCTGCTGTTTTTATTCAGTAAATTTATAATCTGATCTTTTCTCTGTCTCTGTACTCGATTCCTGTTAAAGCTCAGACGAACTCAAATACGCTCCTAATATTCTTATTATTCTGTTCGTTCGTTTAGTACTTAACCATTTATTGTGTTCAATAAATGCTGCTGTCTGGAGATGAATCAACATAAAATATTTTTAGTTTTTCTATTTCAAAGCTGCTAAAATCCAGGAAATCTTTATATTTAAAGAAGGCTGACTTTATTTTTATATTTCTACAGGACTCGGCAGCTTCTGGTTTGGAGCCTGATGCGACAGCTGCTCATTTAATATTCAACTTTAACGATTCGGCACAAAACAACAGAACAAACTCATTAAATCTCTAAAATAAAAACTCAAGTTTTCACAACCTCAGCAGAAACTGCGCTGATTAAAAACTCGCCGAGCTTCGCTTGTTGTAACGGTCCGGTCCAGAACCAAGCGGGTAGCACGTTAAGTCTTGTAGAAGCAGCCGACCCGTTTGGACTCGGCGGCTCGGCTCGTGTGGCGCCTCTGCAGGCGGCCGTGAACTGACGCTGTGTTCGTCCTCAGAGCCAAGTGGACGGAGACGGAGATCGAGATGCTGCGTTTGGCCGTGCGTCGCTTCGGAGACGACCTGAACAACATCAGCTCCGTCATCAAAGAGCGCACCGTGTAAGTTACCGGATCAGAACACCTGCGCCCCCTCACCTCAGCAGGGCTGTAAACCAGAGAACAGGGTCAAAGGTCACAGGTGGTCACTTGCAACACGCTGTTGTGGAGGAAAACCAGACTTTAAAACTAATTGACATTTTTAAAGCTAATAAAGTTTTCAACACCTGAGCTGAGTTTTTGTGAACAAAATGAAAACTTGTGTGATAAATGCTGAACTAAAATACCAACCTGCGCTCCGTACGGTGAAAACAATCCTGTCCTTTAATGTCCAACTCTACCGGTACAGAGACAGACGAAAGATGAGACGCTGAACCGTTTAAAACATTTTATTCATCAAAGTGTAGAGGCTCCGCCCACTTTTAAAATGTTTTACCGCTCAGCGTTTTCTCTAATTCCCACTTTGAATCCATCAAAATAAGCAGCGCTGCCAAAGGTTGGAGGTGGAAGCTGATTGGCTGACGCTCTTCTTCCTCCGCAGAGCTCAGATAAAGAGCACGGTGAAGAGGAAGCTGTACGAGGACAGCCGGGTCCCCATTTCCTCTGAGTCTCCCAAGAAGGTGGTGAAGAAAACCGCAGGTTCCATGACGCCGGCTCCACCTGCTCCCGCCATGATCAGCGTGCCGGCCTCACAAGTTGTCGTGGCGACAGGGATGCAGAACAGCCCGTCGCTGGCTCCGCCCATCAAGAAGCAGAAGACAGCAGGTGAGCAATGGAGACGGATGTTGGACCGTTCTGGAGTCTCACTCCAGAGGTTCAGAGGAAACGTTCTCCAGATGTTTCCTGTGATGATCAGATCTCTCCTGCAGACGTGACGCTCAGCGCTCTGAATGACTCGGACGTGAACAGCGACCTGGTGGACATCGAGGGACTCGGAGACGGATCCTCCAATAAGAAACTCAACTTTGACCAAGGTCGGTTTTGGGCGGAGCTAAAAGTTTTACCTGTTCTGACGTGATTCTCGGGTTCTGACGAGGTTCCGTTTGTTTCCTCAGAGAGCCTGAACCTCGACTCCAGCCTCATCATGAACTCCAGCGACCTCCCTCTTCTGTCCCGCTGAAGCTCCGCCCCCTCTGCAGACATATCCTCTCTTTTATTTTGAAAGGGACACAGATCAACGTGTGTTCATCAGATGAAACGTCCTGTTTTTGTTTCGGAACAGTTTGATTTCTTTTATCTGAATTATGTTTTATTTTTAGGTGTTTGTGTTTAGAATCTGATCATGAAGAGAATCTGCAGATAAAATAACTAATCATCAATCGAACATCTGTAACCAGATGAAATAACTGGAGAAACTAAAAGTTTTCTGAAAATAAATCTGATGCCTCTGTAAATGTTCAGTGTTTTTACTCAAGATAAAGTTTTATATTTGTTTTTTCATTCATTCAGCTTTTATCTCCACAGGCTGGTCTCACTGAGCCTCGAGGACTCTGTTCCACACAGAACACGTAAAGTACAAACTGTAAACCGTGACAGGAACTTGGAGTAAAAATGCAGTTCAACGAGAGGAGCGTGCCGTAAAACGTTAGAATTTATGTTTGTACTTCAAAATGGTGGAAGGAGCCAACATGTCGACTTCTCTGCTCAACCCGATGTAAGCTATGACCAAAGCACTCTTATTTTGAAACCCCAGGTTCAGACGTTCCTCGGCCTTCCTGTGGCTCGTTGCACGGTGCCTCAGTTTTTAGTTCGATTATGGATGTTCAGATCTTTTCCTTTCTTTGTTTTTATGATTAAATCGAAGTCCTGACCCACTGAGTCTAGAACATCAGATTCTACTGGATCTAAAGGGAACACTGATGGAAAAGTAGGAAAAAACAAGCATTCTGGGTAATCAAGAAGCCACGACTCAGAAGCTGCTGAGTCACTAGTTGCCATGGTGATTCCCGCCTTTTTCATAGAACAGAAAAGGGGAGGGGCAACGCTTGAGGCCTCAGACAAAAAACATCCCGTGAGCAGAAGGTTCTGGTGCTACCACAGGTTCTGCCAGATGGTTCCACAGGGTTTAATGAGGATAAATAAATATATATAAATAAAAAAATGTTCTTCTTTCGGCTGCTCCTTCAGGGGTCACCACAGCGAACTAACTCTCAGTAAGATTTGGCGATTAGTTTGACGCCGGATGTTCTTCCTGACTCAACGACAGACACTGAGCTACCACAGCCTCTGTGGAGCAGAGAGCTGCATCTAGGGCACCCGGGGGGGCAGATGGTGGGGGTGGGCCCAGAGTGGGGCGAGTGGGGGCAGGTGTGGGTGCTTCACCTTTCCCACCCATATTTTGATGTCGTCTGTACCAGGAGTTGAACCAGCGATCTTCCGATCACAGGCCCAGCTTCTCCGACCTCTGCGCCACCACTCCAAAACAAAAGTCACTGAAGTCGGAGGTTTTTTGACAATCCTTAAATTCTGATCCCCAAAGTCAGAGCTGGTTTATATTTTTAACAAACCAAGAAGTGATGACTTTTTAAACGTTCAGAGAAGCGATGAACAAAAACGCAGTTTCTGTTTAATGTAACAGATTTTATTTTAACAGCTTTAATATACAATATGTATAATTAAATTTATAGCTTACATGAGTTGTTTCCACTAAAATCTACATTCTGCATCATTTTTACAGCCTGGGAGGAATGAACACATGAATAAACTTTTATTTCTTCCTTGCATAAAAATACATCTCATCTGTTTCATGTAGAGAATTTGTCAAGAGAAAAGAAAATTATTTACAATGAATGTTTGTACGGATGTGCTTTACTTCCCTTCACTGACTGCACAAACCTGGCAGCCCTTTTTCAAGTCTAAATTACCGTGGAAGAACTTTTCAGACCCGAGGATCAGAAATGAGGACATTTCGTTTTCCATCAAAATGTTTTCTGAGACCAAATATAAACTTTAGCTCATGTTTTAGAATAATTTCCTGTTTTAAATAAGAGGAAATGGGGAAGTTTTTTGCCACAGGAGAAGCCGTTTAGGTTGAAAGTTTGACTACAGATGCCAAAAAGGGTGATTTTTAAACTAGCGTTCTTCCACAGTAATAAAAAACAACAAACTTCAGTTTAACATAAAAAACCTTCATTCTTGATTTGCTTTTAAAAACAACAACAAAAAGATTGCTGCTCCTGAACCGAGACCAATTCACACATACAATCTAATTTATATAAAAAAAAAAATTAAAAAAACTTTTAAAGAAAGTTTAAAAGGTTTAAAAACTCAGTTTACAGGAAAATGTTTGGTTTAAAAAGATAACTGAATCAATAAATTTTACTTGTTTGAGCACTGGACGGTGCAGAATACTTTGGGTTAAATTGAGCCACGTTGTGTTCTGACTACATTAAGTCCGACTTTGTGTTCCGGTTACATCAATTCTGACATTGCATTCCAGCTTCATCAAGTCCGACTTTGCGTTTGGGCTACGTCAAGACTGACTTTGCATTCCAACTACATCAAGTCCAACTTTGTTTTCCGGCTACATCAAGTCTGACTCTGTTCTGGATACATCAAGTCCAACTTTGTGTTCCGGCTACGTCAAGTCCGACTTTGTGTTCCGGCTACA